TTTCCTCAGCATGCTGGTCTAAAAGTCCATCTTGCGCACACTCCGGGAATTCATCAACCAAATAATATCGCTCCTGAGCTCCCATTAATGGGGTGTATCGGATCCTGCTGGCGTGTGTGGCGTTTTCCAGCTTATCGGCACCCTGCTAGGCATGTACGGGGTTTTCCAGCGTGTCAGGATCCTGCCGAGCGTGTACGGGGTTTCCCAGTGTATCAGCACCTTGCCGGGCGCGTATGGAATTTCCCAGGACATCAGGACCCTGCCGTGTGTCCACGGTGTCACATGACAGGAAGATTTGACCAGGAATGCAGGAGACTGAACTGGAGATAGCTGCATCAATTGGGCTCGGTGAAGCAATGAATCATCGAAGTCCAATGGACTGTATCTTGAATTTACAGAAAGATTGATGAAAACTCAAAACAATGTTGAATCCTCTTCCCGGAGTCTTTAAACCTCTTTACTTCTGACTCCCCAGCAAAGTCGTAAACAAATAGTTCACACTCAAAAAGTTTGATTCTCACAAGAGCAACGAAAGGGAACCACGAATGTGCACCAGTGGATTGGTTGCCTCGCTTGTTCATTGCCCCCTGCAGCCACACCTCTGATATCCAATTGGTCGGTTTTGCTGTCAATATTCGGTTGATTATAGTAACCTTTTGATGGTCGGTGGAAAGGTTCTACCAGGGCAGATGGGCGGAACGCAACGATGGACAGTTACCCAGACCAATGGGAAAGCAGGGCGGGGAAGAACATGCCAATCGGCATGGGAAGGGTGGGTCTAGGCTCGAAACGTCAGCCTTTCTGCTCCTATGATGCTGCTTGGCCTGCTGTGTTCATCCAGCTCTGCACCTTGTCTCGGATTCTCCAGCATCTGCAGTTCCTACTATCTCGGAACCAACGGGTGACGTGGTTGGACGGCACATTAAAATACTCTATCTAACGTTCGACTCTGCCTCCATTTGCCGAATAGGCTGATTCCCACGTTCATCGTAATGTGCCGTCCAACCACGTCACCCCCCGTTGGCTCCCTTCCCATGACGATGGCATGTTCTTCCCCGCCCTGCTTTCCCATTGGTCTGGGTAACTGTCCATCGTTGTGTTCCGCCCATCTGCCCTGCTAGAATCTTTCCACTGACCATCAAAACGTTACTATGCCCCGCCCCCGCATTCTGATTGTTCCTGTAACATGACCATCACGAGAACCCTTCCTCTGAATGGTCTTCACGACAGTCCATCGTGTTTTCCCGCCCATTGACCTTGCACCGAATGGCGAGATTCCCTTCGGTCGATTGACCCAACCGCCTACACCGCTCCAAAGTCTTGTACTGGCCAATCCCCACACCCCATCCTTGCTCTGAATGGAGGGGACGCGAACGACATCGTCCCGTTTTTGCCCATTGGCCCTGATCACGTCGCGCCGCACTCAACTATTGGGTGATCTACCTGTCCCTCATCACCTCCCTATGGCCTTCCTTCTTGTCCAATTGGGAGAACGCAGTGGTTTGGCGATAGGGAGGGTGTCAGTCATCTCCCCACGCCGCCCTGAGCTCATTTCACTGGATGTTCACAGCGGATTGGCGATTGGGCTGTAAACTCCAGAGGCCAAACATAAGGCGTTCTCCCTCCAATTTACGATTGGCCTAACTTTGACAGTTGAGGAGGCCCAGGATGAACATGTCGCCAGAGGAGTGGGAAGGGGAGTTAAAATCGATGGCAACTGCAAGGTAGTGCTGATTGGTACATGTGGAGGGCAGATGCTGTGCAAACCTGTCCCTGAGTCCGCGTTTGGTGTCCCTCACATAGAGGAGACCACATCGGGAGCTACAAAAGCAACAGACCAGGTTGCGTGAAGTGCAGGCAAATTTCTGCCGCATCTGGATGGACTGTTTGGGGCATTGGATGGCATCCTCCATGCCCACTGGTTCCCTGAGCACCACCCTCTTGTCGTGTCCTGCTTTTCCTTCCCTGAGTCTCTGTCCCTGCCTCTTGGCACTCACCTCTGATTGCCCTGATTTCTCCCCTGGTCTGAGGTGTTATGTGTCTATGTACCACACAGTCTGTTTGTACGTCCTCATCCTCATTCACCCGACCACCCAACTGAGGCAATTTCTCGAAACCCAATCACCCAAGGGAGTGAGCAACAGGAGCTAGGACTGCACCAGCTCCTCCCCTCCCCCCCTCAAGCCCCACATCCCCACACATCATCCAGAAGGGAGTGAGCAATCTCAGTGGGTTTCAACGCTGCGGCATGTGTATGAGTGTGTGTCAGGTGAGGAGGGAGGGAAGGGACAGGCAGTAGCAGTCTGACCTCAAAAGTCCCCACAGTATCAGAAGGATGTGGTGGCTTTGGAGAGGGTACAGAAGAGATTTACCAGGATGTTGCCTGGTATGGTGCACATTAGCTATGAGGAGAAGTTGGAGAAACTTGGGATGTTCTCACTGGAACAACGGAGGTTTAGGGCCGACCTGATGGAGGTCTACAAGATTATGAAGGGCATGGACAGAGTGGACAGTCAGAAGCTTTTTCCCAGGGTGGAAGAGTCAGTTACCAGGGGCCATGGGTTTAAGGTGCGAGGGGCAAGGTTTAAAGGTGATGTACGAGGCAAGTTTTTTTTTACACAGAGGGTGGTAGGTGCCTGGAACTCGCTGCCGGGGGAGGTAGTGAAACAGATACTATAGTGACTTTTAAAAGGCGTCTTGACAAAAATATGAATAGGATGGAAATAGAGGGATATGGTCCCTGGAAGGGTAAAGGGTTTTAGTTGTGATAGGCAACATGTCAGTGCAGGCTTGGAGGGCTGCAGGGCCTGTTCTTGAACTGTAATTTTCTTTGTTCTTTGTATTGTGCTGCTGCTTGTCCTCTCACCAGCTACCATTCCCCACCGCCCCAATTCATACATTCATCAGGACCATTTGCAAGACTACCAACATTTATTCTACAGGAGAGGCAGTTTCCAGTGGTCCCAAGTGAGACACAGAGACTCAGAGTCTGCAGCACTTCAAGAAACTATCTGACACACCATCACTTTTCAGGGACAGTTAAAGCTAGGCACCCACTATTTACCTCTCAGTAATGTCAACAGTTTCTTCAATTTGGATTTTTATAGTTTTTTTTCCAATAATTTTGCTTCTTCCTCCTCATGCTAACGTTTAAAATGCTCTTTTATGCTGTATTGTTTCAGCACTGACAGACACATTTAATGTTTGATGCTATGAACATAGTTGCTAATGCTTTTGTCTATGCCATTGAAAACTTTTAGTTTAAGATTCTGCAGGTAGTTTTGCAGCTTCTATACTGCCCACTACTGGCGTAAATACTTTAGTTTTCTAGTATTTCAGATCAGTTCCATGCTGAACTGGATTCCACATAGAGGAGTTTTTAATGGATAGGAACGACTGCTGAATTGTGCCCCTCTATCCAAGACTGTGGAAACAGTATACAGCCCGCAAAATAATTTCTCTGTATTAAATCCATGATTAATGAGGAACGTGGAAACAAAACCAACATTCAGAGACTCCATTCCCAGATACAGTTTTAATTCACTCTGAACAACAGACGAAGGCAAAGCAGGAGACGTACATCATTCAGCCCATCAAGTCTGGTCTGCTATTCAAATGGGTCACCATTGATCAGAAAATCCTCATCTCCACGACCCTGCCTTCTCCTTATAACTGTTGATTGCCTTCCTGCTTAAAAATCTGTCCATCCTAGCCTTCAATATAGTTAATAAGTCAGCCTCAATAGTGCTCAGTGACAAAAACTCCAGACTCACTCCATTCAAAAGAAATTCATCATTGCTGTCCTAAATAAATGATGAAATATTCTGAAATTACGCACTGTGGTCCCAGACTCTCCAACAAGTGGAAACAACCTTTCTACATCCGCCCTGTTAAATCCTTTAATAGCCTTCTCTATTTTTCCTTTGATCAGGGGCCCAAAACTGTTCAGAATATTCCGGCTGTGCTCTGATGAGTACCTTCCACACATATTTCTCCACAGTAACCTGTATTAGTACAATGAACTTTTCCAACGCTTGTCCTAATAAGGTTTTAGCTGAGCTTGCAACTCAGAATGAAAATCGTTCTTGGCTTTCGTGGACATCTAGAGTGCCTTCCCTGAAAATATAAATGCTCTCAGAATCCCTCACATCTATTTTCACTCATGGTTAATGCATTTGAGAGGACTGGTTTCGCAGAAGCTTCCGTCTTTGGTGCAACATTCCCTGGAGAAACACCAGACACTTTTACCAACATTGATTTTCCTTCTTGATCTCCAGCAATTTGCTTTAAACGTTCCACCTTCTGACACTGAGAACATTTTAGTTCTACTGACACAGTTCAGCCTTCTGTACGATCTTTTTGACCACCTTAAGGACATATCTTTGAGGGTTTAGACAGGAATATGGAGTGGAGATGACAATCCTATCAATCATAATCTTATCACAGAAGGGCTGAATGGCATTCCTCCTGCACATTCACTTGTCCGATGTACGACAACTTCCTGCCACCATAAGACTCACTGCCTTTCACTCTGTCTCACTGGAGATTTCTTCCTCCAGCTCCAAGCTCAGCAAACCATCCATCTGCTTTTCCCCTCAGCGATTCCAAATGAGCTGCAACTTTACAAATTTCCAAGTACCTTCTGCGAGAAGCACCCACATGGATTAAACCAAACAACCATCTGACGTGACCATCTCCATGCCAACCTGGCATGCTATTGGAGAAAATGAAATGCAAACCCTTTCATTCAGTAATTTGTATGAAATTTGAGGCATCCACTTCACTGGAAGCCAAGTCGTGAGGGCTGCCAGCTCAGTAGAAACAAACGTTCTCAGTCTCCAACTTCACCCACTGGCAGAATGAACATGGTTCAGTCCTGAATGTGATGAGCAGCAGCGCTAAAAGCAGAACACACTCCTGCAGTCAATTCTGACCTCGCTTGTGTTCCTGCAGGTGTTAATCAAGTGTGTCCCTTTCCACTCTGTGGGCAGGTGAACCACCTCTCCTCGGTATGAATCTGGTGGTGTTTCTGCAGGTTGGATAACTGCGTGAATCCCTTCCCACACTGAGAACAGGTGAACGGCCTCTCCCCGGTGTGAACTCGCTGGTGTTTCTGCAGGTTGGATAAATGAGTGAACCTCTTCCCACACTCAGAGCAGGTATATGGCCTCTCCCCGGTGTGAACTCGCTGGTGTGATTGCAGGTTGGATAACTGTGTGAAGCCCTTCCCACACTGCGAGCAGGTGAACGGCCTCTCTCCGTTGTGAATCCGTTGGTGAATAACCAAGTCAGACGTCTGAGCAAATCCTTTCCCACACTCACAGCAAGTGTACGGCCTCTCCCCGGTGTGAACTCGCTTATGTCTCTGCACGCTGGATAACTGTGTGAATCCCTTCCCGCACTGAGAGCAGGTGAATGGCTTCTCCCCTGTGTGAACCCGCTGGTGTCTCTGCAGGTAGGATATTTGCGTGAATCCCTTCCCACACTGAGAGCAGACGAACGGTCTTTCCCCGGTGTGAATCAGTTCGTGTCGCAGCACGGCATGTGAATCAGAAAATCCCTTCCCACACTGAGAGCAGGTGAATGGCCTCTCCCCAGTGTGAACTCGCTTGTGTCTCAGCAGGTTGGTTGAATTGGTGAATTTCTTCCCACACTCAGAGCAGGGGAATACCCTCTTCTGGTTATCAACTCGCTTGTGTGTCAGAGGGGTGGATATATCAGTAAGTCCCTTCCCACAGTCAGAGGTGAATGGCTGCTCCACAGTGTGAGCCTTCTGGTGTGTCAGCAGATCACAGACAGCACTGAATCCTTTCTCACACACAAAACAGGTGAATGGCCTCTCCCCAGTGTGTCTGCGCTCATGAATCTCAAGTGCAGGCGGGGAAGGGAATCCCTTCCCACAGTAGCCACATTTCCAGGATTTATTCATGCTGAGAGTGTTCTCATTCTCTCTTCAGGTTTAATAATCAGTTGAACCTTGTCCACACACCAAACATGTTAATGGTGTCTCTCTGGTATGAATTGTTCAATTTTCTTTTCAGGCTGTTTAACTGGTTAAAGCTTTTTTCACTGTCGGTGCATTGAAACACACTCACTCGGGTGTGTGTGTATCACAATCCTTTTCCTGTCACATTGATTTTTTAAACCTCCGAAGCAGACAGAACAGAGAAATATTTCTCCCTCCATAGTTAAAGGTTTATGACATTCAGATCTTGACATGACATTAGATCCAGATTTCTTTGTTCAAATCCTCCCTTTGTACTATTCTGTAAAAGCAGTTTAAAAAGTCATCAATATCACAGTGCAAAATAAAAATTACAACAAAATACTCTAAAGGTGATGCTAATTCATGCCAATTGATAGCTTTCTCTTTACTGTCAGTGCAGATTCAATGAGCCAAATAGCTTCTTTTATACTGCATGGTTGAATGCTTGTTCTTCAGGATATATCACTGGTCTAAAAAATATTCAAATTAACTGGACTGCAACACTTGATTAAAGACAAGGGGATGTCAGGACGAATGTTAGTTAGGCATCAGATGGTCACAACCTGGAAATTTCAACATGAGGAAGCAATAAGAATTGTTTCAAATGACTGATTCAGAATTGAAAAGATTCAACCAAGATTTTAAAATAAAATTGCATGGGCAGTTGAGGGAAATGAACTTGCTGGATGACAGAGATACAGAGACAGAATGAGAGAGACTGGATTGCTCGAAAGTTGGCAGCAATTGAAATTGCTGATTTGACTCGTGTGCCATCACGAGTCTATCACTGACATGTAGAATTTCAAACCAATACTCTCATACAAGAGTGGAAACAACACTTGAATGTTATAATAGCATGATAAAATCAAAAATGTACAGTACAACAACACAAGGCATAGCTTAATCCGATATTAATTTAATGCCTCATCACATGTCAGCTCTTGCTTGGAAATCACCCCTTTTAATTTTAAACATGAAGAAAAGACGCCATTCTGTTCGTCAGACAAATAAGTGTGCCAACATGAGTGAGTAAGCCACCAAGCACGGTGGCACTGCTGCCTCACAGCGCCAGGGACCCGGGTTCGATTCCAGCCTCGGGAAACTGTCTGTGAGGAGTTTGCACATTCTCCCCGTGTCTGCGTGGGTTTCCTCCGGGTGCTCCGGTTTCCTCCCACAGTCCAAAGATGTGCAGGTTAGGTGGATTGGCCATGCTAAATTGCCCATAGTGTTCAGGGAGGTGTAGATGAGGTGGGTTATAGGGGATGTGTCTAGGTGGGATGCTCTGAGGTTCGGTGTGGACTTGTTGGGCCGAAGGGCCTGTTTCCACACTGTAGGGATTCTATGATTCCATGAAGATGTCACAAACAAAAGTCGAAATTGCTGGAAAAGCTCGGCACGCCTGGCAGCACCGGTGGAGAGAAATCAGAGTTAACGTTTCGGGTCGAGTGACCCTTCCTCAGAACAGTAAAGGATGTTACCGTCTTTAGAGAGCGGAAGACCTGGGTCAACCTTTCCAGAATCTGCACGTTCCCTTGATTCACTTCCCGACCGTCCAATACTTGCAAGTCAACAATTTCACCCCGAATGAAAAAAGAACTAAAAAAGTCTTACGCTCACAGATGATTGGCAGAGGACGATGTTTCAGTCTGAGTCTTCAGAGACAGAAGTGTAGTAGCACCAACCTTGCTAGGCAGAAACGAGCAGCGTCAGAAGCATATTGCCTAACTTCCGCATTCAGACATTGCAGTAGCGCTGATTATCTGGAGGACCAGCTACCTTCCGGTCCTCCAGGGGTTGCCAATAACCAACTGTGTAGCTCTTCAATTGATGGCGCACATTGCTTCTGCTCAAGCGCATGTACAATTCCGTCCGCCACATACTCCCCCAACCTTTCGTGGACCATAGAACGGTTTGACTGGCGCAGTATATTGTGGTCCCTCTCGCCATCATGGCACAATGCGAACCCGATCTACAAATGGAAGAGGCAAGGATAGAATTTCGACAAGAGAGAAAACAAGGTGGAGAGCTTGTAGGTGTAAATCTTTTTCTGAAGAAAGGTCCAGACCCGAAACGTCAGCTTTCCTGCTCCTCTGATGCTGCTTGGCCTGCTATGTTCATCCAACTCTACACCTTGTTATCTCAGATTCTCCAGCATCGGCAGTTGCTACTATCTCGAGAATTTCGACAAGCTGTACGAAGATACCCTGATGTGGTTGAAAGCAAGTCATTTGACTTGTTTTTTTAAAGCGCCCCCGTTCATCACAAAAGGGTTCGTTAAATTAAGGCTTAAAGATTCAGATAGAAAAACAGAAATTGCTGGAAAAAGCTCAGCAGGTCTGGCAGCATCAGTGGAACGAAATCAGAGTAATGCAGTGAAGGCAGCTGGTCACTGGCACTGAACATTTTGGGAGCAGCATAGAACATGGAACATTACAGCGCAGTACAGGCCCTTCGGCCCTCGATGTTGCGCCGACCTGTGAAACCAATCTGAAGCCCATCTAACCTAAACTATTCCATTATCATCCATATGTTTATCCAATGACCATTTAAATGCCCTTAAAGTTGGCGAGTCGACTACATTTGCAGGCAGGGCATTCCACGCCCTTACTACTCTCTGAGTAAAGAACCTACCTCTGATATCTGTCCTATATCTGTCACCCCTCAATTTAAAGCTATGTCCCCTCGTGCTAGCCATCACCATCTGAGGAAAAAGGCTCCCACTGTCCACCCTATCTAATCCTCTGATCATCTTGTATGTCTCTATTAAGTCACCTCTTAACCTTCTTCTCTCTAATGAAAACAGCCTCGAGTCCCTCAGCCTTTCCTCATAAGACCTTCCCTCCATACCAGGCAACATCCTGGTAAATCTCCTCTGCACCCTTTCCAATGCTTCCACATCCTTCCTATAATGCGGCGACCAGAACTGTACGCAATACTCCAAGTGCGGCCGCACCAGAGTTTTGTACAGCTGCAACATGACCTCATGGCTCCGAAACTCAATCCCTCTACCAATAAAACCGAACACACCGTACGCCTTCTTAACAACACTATCAACCTGGGTGGCAACTTTCAGTGATCTATGCACATGGACACCGAGATCTCTCTGCTCATCCACACTACCAAGAATCTTACCATTAGCCCAGTACTCTGCATTCCTGTTACTCCTTCCAAAGTGAATCACCTCACACTTTTCCGCATTAAACTCCATTTGCCACCTCTCAGCCCAGCTCTGCAGCTTATCTATGTCCCTCTGTAACCTGCAACACCCTTCCGCACTATCCACAACTCCACCGACTTTGGTGTCATCCGCAAATTTACTAACCCATTCTTCTACGCCCTCATCCAGGTCATTTATAAAAATGACAAACAGCAGTGGCCCCAAAACAGATCCTTGAGGTACACCACTAGTAACTGAACTCCAGGATGAACATTTCCCATCAACCACCACCCTCTGTCTTCTTACAGCTCGCCAATTTCTGATCCAAACCGCTAAATCACCCTCAATCCCTCCATATTTTCTGCAATAGCCTACCATGGGGAACCTTATCAAACGCTTTACTGAAATCCATATACACCACACCGCTTTACCCTCATCCACCTGTTTGGTCACCTTCTCAAAGAACTCAATAAGGTTTCTGAGGCACGACCTACCCTTCACAAAACCGTGTTGACTATCCCTAATCAAATTATTCCTTTCTAGATGATTATAAATCCTATCTCTTATAATCCTTTCCAACACTTTACGCACAGCCGAAGTAAGGCTCACTGGTCTATAATTACCAGGGTTGTCTCTCCTCCCCTTCTTGAACAAGGGGACAACATTTGCTTGTCTCCAGTCTTCTGGCACTATTCCTGAAGACAATGACGACATAAAGATCAAAGCCAAAGGCTCTGCAATCTCCTCTCTAGCTTCCCAGAGAATCCGAGGATAAATCCCATCCAGCCCAGGGGACTTATCTATTTTCACACCTTCCAGAATTGCTAACACCTCCTCTTTATGAACCTCAATCCCGTCTAGTGTAATAGCCTGTATCTCAGTATTCTCGTCGACAACATTGTCTTTTTCCTGTGTGAATACTGATGAAAAATATTCATTTAGCGCCTCTCCTATGTCTTCGGACTCCACGCACAACTTCCCACTACTGTCCTTGAATGGCCCTAATCTTACTCTAGTCATTCTTTTATTCCTGACATACCTATAGAAAGCTTTAGGGTTTTCCTTGATCCTACCTGCTAAAAACTTCTCATGTCCCCTCCTGGCTCTTCTTAGCGCTCTCTTTAGGTCCTTCCTGGCTAACTTGTAACTCTCAAGCGCCCTAACTGAGCCTTCACGCCTCATCTCTACATAAGCCTCCTTCTTCCTCTTGACAAGAGATTCAAGTTCTTTAGTAAACCATGGTTCCCTTGCTTGACCACTTCCTCCCTGCCTGACAGGTACACACTTCTCAAGGATACGCAGTAGCTGTTCCTTGAATAAGCTCCACATTTCAATTGTGCCCAGCCCCTGCAGTTTCCTTCTCCATCCTATGCATCCTAAATGTTGCCTAATCGCCTCATAATTGCCTTTCCCCCAGCTATAACTCTTGCCCTGTGGTATATACTTATCCCTTTCCATCGCTAAAGTAAACGTAACCAAATTGTGGTCACTATCACCAAAGTGCTCACCCACCTCCAAATCTAACACCTGGCCTGGTTCATTACCCAGTACCAAATCCAATGTGGCCTCGCCTCTTGTTGGCCGATCTACATACTGTGTCAGGAAACCCTCCTGCACACATTGGACAAAAACTGACCCATCTAAAGTACTCGAACTATAGCGTTTCCAGTCAAAATTTGGAAAGTTAAAGTCCCCCATAACAACTACCCTGTTACTTTCGCTCCTATCCAGAATCATCTTTGCAATCTTTTCCTCTACATCTCTGGAACTTTTCGGAGGCCTATAGAAAACTCCCAACAGAGTGACCTCTCCTTTCCTGTTTCTAACCTCAGCCCATACTACCTCAGTAGACGAGTCCTCATCAAACGTCCTTTCTGCCACCATAATACTGTCCTTGACTAACAATGCCCAGCCCCTTTTTTACCACTTTCCCTGATCTTACTGAAACATCTAAACCCCGGAACCTGCAACAACCATTCCTGTCCCTGCTCTATTCATGTCTCCGAAATGGCCACAACATCGAAGTCCCAGGTACCAACCCATGTTGCAAGTTCACCCACCTTATTCTGGATGCTCCTGGCATTGAAGTAGACACATTTCAAACCACCTTCCTGCCTGTCGGTACACTCCTGCGACCTTGAAACCTTATTCATGACCTCACTACTCTCAACCTCCTGTACACTGGAACTACAATTCAGGTTCTCATCCCCCTGCTGAATTAGTTTAAACCCTCCCGTAGAGCATTAGCAAATTTCCCCCCCAGGATATTGGTACCCCTCTGGTTCAGGTGTAGATCATCCCGTTTGTAGAGGTCCCACCTACCCCAGAATGAGCCCCAATTATCCAGGTATCTGAATCCCTCCCTCCTGCACCATCCCTGTAGCCACGTGTTCAACTGCTCTCTCCCTATTCCTCACCTCGCTAGCACGTGGCACAGGTAACAAACCAGAGATAACAACTCTGTTTGTTCTAGCTCTAAGCTTCCACCCTAGCTCCTTGAATTTCTGCTTTACATCCTCATCCCTTTTCCTACCTATGTCATTGGTGCCTATGTGGACCACGACTTGGGGCTGCTCCCCCTCCCCCTTAAGGATCCCGAAAACACGATCCGAGACATCATGGACTCTGGCACCGAGGAGGCAACACACCAACCGCGAGTCTCTCTCATTCCCACAGAATCTCCTATCTGTCCCCCTAACTATGGAGTCCCCAATGACTAATGCTCTCCTCCTCTCCCCCCTTCCCTTCTGAGCAACAGGGACAGACCCTGTGCCAGAGACCTGTACCCCACGGCTTACCCCTGGTAAGTCGTCCCCCCCAACAGTATCCAAAACGGTATACTTGTTTTTGAGGGGAACGGCCACAGGGGATCCCTGCACTGTCTGCCTGTTCCCTTTCTGTCCCCTGACTGTAACCCATCTACCTTTTTCCTGTACCTGAGGTGTGACTACCTCCCTGTAACTCCTCTCAATTACCCCCTCAGCCTCCCGAATGATCCGAAGTTCATCCAGCTCCAGTTCCCTAATGCGGTTTCCGAGGAGCTGGAGTTGGGTGCACTTCCCGCAGATGAAGTCAGTGGGGTCACTAGTGGTGACCCTTACCTCCCACATTCTACAGGAGGAGCATGCAACTGCCCTAACATCCATTCCCACTGTTCTGAATTCCCAAACAGACTATTGAAAAAAAAATCCAGCATGTGCTGGATTAAACTGTTCACAATGACAGACACTTCACATCAGCAATTAACAATCTGTGCACGTGAACTGAGGGTCTGTATTTCTCTGATTGTCAGGAAAATGAATCCTGTCCTTAAATTCAGCCAAACCATTGAATATAAACATCAATCCCTCTGGGTTCTTTCAGAGGTTTCCCAGAACATTCCAAAAGTAAGGATACTGATCCGGTATCAGATTCCACCGATTTATTCTACGATGTCAGAAGTCACACAACAATAGGTTATAGTCCAACACGTTTATTTGAAAACACAAGCTTTCGGAGCCTCACTCCTCCTTCAGGTGTTAGTGAGAGAGGTAGTATTGGACACAGAATTTATAAATACAAGATCAAAGGGTCAAACTACTGATGAGGATATATTAAACAAACCTAAGATGCTGTTTCATCTTTAATCTGTCAGAAGGCTTTAATTGATTAGTATGTATATGTACATCCCCGAATTCCTTTCAAGTCACTGTCCTGCGAGAAATAAAGGTTTTATCACTGCAAAGGTGGGGTGACGTTAAGGTCAGATGATGCATGTTAGGTGTGAGGCCTTGCTTGGAATCTGTTTGTGTTTTGGTTTGGAGTCAGACTAGTTTTATTTCTAAAGTAGGAATCTATAAAATGCCAGATTGACTGACTATCAATAAATTGTGTGCTTTTTGAAAAAAATAGAATGTATATACAAAATCAAATTCACCCCATAGATTCACATGCGTGTGTATGCTTGAGAGACATTGTGTATATGAGAGAGGATTCACGCGCGTGTGTTTGTGAGTGAGACAGAGAGAGAAAGTGAGTGAGTGTGTGTGTCTGAGACAGGATTTGTGTGAGAGTGCGTGAGAGTCTATTTTTGTGTGTGTGTCTGTGTGTGTTTATGTACACCTGTGAGTGTGAAAGTGTGTGGTATGGTGGAGTCACCTGTAGTGTGACATGGACCCAAGATCCCAGTTGAGGCCGTCCTCATGGGTACCGAACTTGGCTATCAGCCTTTGCTCAGCAACTCCGCGTTGTTATGTTTTTTTTTCTTTATTCATTCATTCACGGGATGAGGGCATCACTGCTAGGCAGCATTTATTGCCCATCCCTAATTGCCCACAGGGCATTAAGAGTTACCCACATTGCTGTGGGTCTGGAGTCACATGCAGGCCAGACCAGGTAAGGATGGCAGATTTCCTTCCCTAAAAGGCATTAGTGAACCAGATGGGTTTTTCCCAACAACCAACAATGGATTCACGGTCATCATTAGATTCTTAATTCCAGATATTTTTATTGAGTTTAAATTCCACCATCTGATGTGGTGGGATTTGAACCCGGGCCCCCAGAACATTGAGACAACAAGGTGCAGGGCTGGATGAACACAGCAGGCCAAGCAGCATCATAGGAGCAGAGAGGCTGACGTTTCGGGCCTAGACCCTTCATCAGAAAAGGGGGAGGGGAAGGGGGTTTTGAAATAAATAGGGAGAGAGTGGGAGACAGATAGAAGAGGGATAGAGGAGAGGATAGGTGGAGAGGAAACAAACAGGTCGAAGAGGCGGGGATGGAGCCAGGAAAGGTGAGTGTAGGTAGGGAGTTAGGAAGGGGATAGGTCAGTCCAGGGAGGACGGACAGGTCAAGGGGGCGGGATGAGGTTGGTCGGTAGGAGATGGAGGTGCGGCTTGAGGTGGGAGGAGGGGATAGGTGGGAGGAAGAACAGGTTAGGGAAGCAGGGACGAGCTGGACTGGTTTTGGGATGCGATAGGGGGAGGGGAGATTTTGATCTCAATACCATGAGTGTAGATATTATCACGGTTGGGGCCAAATTGGGAAGGCTTGAATGTGGATTGTAGTCCATTGGGGATGATCTGGTTCCGTAGGCAGGTGCTAAGGAAGGTGATGTGGCTGTAGTACCTGGTTTGCTTCAGGATGTGGTCGAGCAGTTTCAGGGCCGTAGAGATTACGAGAGAGTTGCAGTGGGAGAGAGATCCCTTGAGGTTTGTCCGGAGGGAGGAGGGTAACTTCTTCAGGTTAGGCATCCTTAGAAGAGGCTTCGCAGTGGTCTCTGCATTAACAATCCAGCGATAATACCAGCAGGGCATCATCTCGCCCTGCATCCCGAAGTCTGCTTTGGAGGACGTTCACCGAAGATCTGAAGCCAAATGTCCTTGACCGCTGAAGTGCTCCCCCAATGGGAGGGAACATCCCTGTCTGACGATTGTTGCGCGGTGTCCATTCATCTGCTGTCATAGTGTCTGCACAGTTTCACCAATATGCCATGCCTCAGGGCATTATTGTCTGCACTGTATGAGATTTTTTTTCTTTATTCATTCACGGGATGAGGGCGTCACTGGCTAGGCAACATTTATTGCCCATACCTAAATTGCCCAGAGGGCAGTTAAGAGTCAACCACATTGCTGTGGGTCTGGAGTCACATGTAGGCCAGACCAGATAAGGATGGCAGTTTCCTTCCCTAAAGGACGCTAGTGAACCAGATGGGTTTTTCTGACAATCGACAATGGATTCACGGTCATCATTAAATTCTTAACTGCAGATATTTTATTGAATTCAAATTCCACTATCTGCCATAGCGGGATTCCAAGTCCCCAGAACATTATCTGGGTCTCTGGACTGCTAGTCCAGCAATAATACCACTAGGCCTTCGCCTCCCCTTTATGAGATGGACAACGTTGGCTGAGTCACATGAGCATCTGCCGTGCACATTGTGCGTGGTGTTCCGTGATAGTAGGGTCCATATCGAAAATCTGTCATGTCTTACAGAGGGTGTCATGACAGGGTTGTATAGTGTTGTGATCGATGTTGTCCTGATGGCTGGATAGTTTGCTGCGAACAATGGTGTGATAATGTTTGGCAATTTTTGAAGGCGTGAAGTAGAGGCGTGAACAAGATCTTGGGAAGGTGCTCATCGTCATCAGTAATGTGTTTAATGCTGTGAAGAACATTGCGTAGTTTCTCCATTCCTGGGAAGTACAAAGGGTACCCAATTGGACGTATTCCATGTCTGTCTTCTGGAGGAGGTTGTTATGGTTTATTGCTGTGGTATGTCGGAATTGGTGATCGACGAGTTGAGCATGTATCCTGTTCTTATGAGGGCATCCTTTAACACCTTCAGGTGTCTGTCTTGTTCCTCCTCATCTGAACAGATCCTGTGTATGCATAGGGCTTGTCCGTAGGGGGTGCCTAATATGTTTAGAGTGGAAGCTAGAGAAGTTCAGCATCATGAGGTTATCCATAGGCTTGTGGTAGAGTGAGGATATGAGGTGTCCATCCCTGATGAAGATGCAGGTGTCCAAGAATGAGACTGATTCTGAACAGTAGTCCACGGCAAGTCTGATGGTGGGATGAATCTTGTTGATATCACTATATAGTTGTTTTAGTGATTCCTTGCCTTGAGTCTAAAGGAAGAAAATGTCGTCAATATATCTGGTGTACAGTTCTGGAGGTTCTGTTCAGCAAAGAAGTCTTGTTTGAAACTGTACATGAAAATGTTGGCATATTGGGGAGCTGTTCTGTGTGTCTGGATGAAGAACTGGTTGTCGAAGGTGAAGATATTGTGGTCGAGGATGAAGCGGATGAGTTGTAGGATAGCATCTGGAAATTGGCAATTGGTGGTATTGAGTACTGAGGCTGTTGCAGTGATGCCGCCCTTGTGGGGGATATTGGCTTAGAGTGCTGCAAAGTCCACTGTGACGAGGAAGGTTCCTGGCTCGGCCGGTCCGTGGGTGCTGAGTTTCTGTAAGAAATCTGTAGTTTTGTGACAGAACCTGGGGGTTCACTGCATGATGGATTTCAAGATTCCCTCGACACAGCCAGAGAGTTTCTCACACAGGGTCCCATTGCCTGATACGATGGGACGTGTTGGCTTTGTGTATCTTTTGAAGGCAGTAGAAGTCCTCTACATGGGAAGTACACGGGATGAGAGGGCAAAGGGTAGTCTGAAGGACTGGATCAAAAGTCTCGATCAGTCTGTTCAGTTGGTGGTGTGTTCTTTGGTTGGATCTGCAGATAGTTATCTGCTGTGTTCCTGGTTGTTCAGCTGTCAGTACACTTCCTTGCAGTAGTCCGTCCTATTCTGTATGACGATGGCTCCTCCTTTGTCTGCTGGGTTGATGACAATGATTGGTCTTGAGAGCACAGATGGCATTATGTTGTGCCTGGGTGACGTTTTGCATACCTTCACATCATTATTCAACACTGAATAGTGTTCAAATCTGAGAATTTAAAACTGAAAACAAATGAAACTGAGGGTATATTTTCCCAATGGCCCAGGCATAAATAATCTTTGATAGTTTCCTTTCCAATTGTTAATGCTATCCGACCTGTACTGTCATACAGCTAACTCAGTGAATATCGTCAAGTTATCCAGCAATGAGAGTTTTACTGGATCATGTTTTAAACAGGCAGTGAACAAAATTGCTTGCAGATTTGCTAAACAAGCGAATGAAGGTTATTGAAAGAGCAATTATGCCGTACATGATGTGAGGAGTTCCAAAGTTAGTGTATTAAATCTTGGGCAGGTCATCTTGTAAACGCTGTGCACTGACAGAGTGCCAGACCACATTTAGACATTTTGTCTGTGATACTGGCCGAATTGGGTTGAGGAGCAGACTGTGCTGGACATACTTTTTGCATCAGTATCCCATTTGATCCTGAACTGAACCTCCAACCTTATATCCTCTCCATCCCCATCAACACCTACTCTGATAAAGGTTAATACATAATAATTATTTGGGAACGTGCTTCCCTGGCATGTATGGGGAGCTTTTTTTTGTCTCTTCTTCTGTGAAGACAGAACAGGAGTGGCTGTTAATCGCTTTGCCATTTCCCTGCTCTCCATTATCAATTCTCCTATTTCAGATTGTAACAGGCTTACACTTGTTTTCACTAATCATTTATTTTTTATATAAGTATAAAAGTGAAGTTTAAGAGCTTCTATGTCCCTTGCAAGTTCACTCTCATCCTCCATTTTTCCTCCCATTCAATGTATTGGTCCTTCTCAGCTGATTTCGAAACTGCTCCCATTCCTCAGGCTTGCTCCTAATTCTAGAAACTTTATATGACACCTCTTTTGATCTAATGCTATTCTTAATTTCTTTTGTTACCCATGGTCAGGATGTTGAGTTCATTAGCCAAGTAATATTGCTACTGAGTTACCATTAGTGGGGTGTATTGGATCCTGCTGGATGTGTACGGAGTTTCCTAGTCTATCAGCACCCTGCCATGCATGCACAAAATCTCACATTACAGGAAGATTTACCTAGGAATGTAGAAGACTTAACTGGAGATAGCTGCATCAATTGGACTCGATAAAGCAGGAATCAGACCTGGATTCACTTTTGTTTGTTATTTACATAAACAATTTGGATGGGAATTTAGGAGGCATGTTTAGAAAGTTTGTGGATGACACCAAAATTGGTGGTGCTGTCGACAGTGAAGAAGATTATCTAAGATTACAAAGGGATCTTGATCAGTTGGGCCAATGGGCTAATGAGGGGTAGATGGAGGTTAATTTGGGTAAATACAAGCTATTGCATTTTGGTAAAACAGACAACAGATAAGCAGGACTTATGCAGTTAACGGTAGGGCCCTGGGTAGTGTGGTTAAATGGACAGACCCAGCGGTTCAGATACATAGTTCTTTGAAAGTTGCATCAAAGGTAGACAGGGTGGTTAAGAAAGTGTTTAGCATGCTTGCCTTCTTTGCTCCGACCATTAAGTATGGGAGTTAGGACATCATGTTGAGGTTGTACAGGATGGTAATAAGGCCACATTTGGAGTATTGTGTAGAGTCTGGTCAGCCTGCAGAGCAAGATGATGATTAAACTGGAGAGGATTCAAAATAGATTTACCAGGATGTTGCTGGGACTGAAGGTTTTGAGTTGTAAGGATAGGCTGGGTCTTTTTTTCACTGGAGTAGGTGGTAGAGGGATGATCGTATACAGATTAATAAAATCATGAGGGGCCTAGATAAGATGAATAGCAAAGATCTTTTCCCTCAGGTGAGTGAGTTCAAAATTAGGGGACATGTTTTAAGATGAGAGGAGAAAGATTTAAAAGGGACTCGAGGGGAAACTTTTTCTCACAGAGGGTGGTTTGTATGTGGAATAATCTGCCAGAGGAAGTACTAGTTGTAGGTACAGTTACAACTTTTAAAGGAAATTTGGACAGGTACATGAATAGGAAAGGTTCAGAGGGATATGGACCAAACAGACGCAAGTGGGACTAGTTTAGTTTGGGAAACTTAGTTAGCATGGATGGTTGGATTGAAGAGTCTGTTTCCATGCTGTATGACTCTATGACACTCTTGACAAACTGTGCTCCACCAGTATCTCCCCTTTGCCTTGTTCATGGTGACCTCCTGCACTCTGGTGTCAGGAAGACCCTTCTGAGACATGTCTGCTATCCAATTTACAGCCCCCAATAAAAGGTATCTACTGGACAGTTCCATTAGTTAGTGGTGAATGTGATTTCTCTCTGGACAATCACTCACTGCACTTTCTCAACTCAGACCCTGTCCTGTTTTCTATTACAGTGACAAAATAACATTTTAAAATATCTGTGAATGTACCCATGCCCATGTGCATTCTTGTTGAAGTTACTGTATCTTTTCCCCCATGTGAGGGTTTGAGCTACTGGGGCAGATTGGGGCTATTCTCCCTGGAATATCAGAGGCTGAGGAGTGACCTTAAAGAGGTTTATAAAATCAGGAGGGGCATAGATAAGGTGGATAGTCAAGCTCATTTCCCCCAGTGTGAGGGAGTCCAAAACGAGAGGGCATAGGTTTAAGGTGAGAGAGGAAAGATGTAAAAGGGAACCAAGGGGCAATTTTTTCATGCAGAGGGTGGTGCATATATGAAATGAACTGGCAGAGGATGTGGTGGAGGCTGGTACAATTATAACACATCTTTCAAATTTCACAACATCCTTCCCGTAGCAGGGAGACCAGAATTGATCACAGTTTTCCAATAGTGGCCTAACCGGAGTTCTGTACAGGCACAACATGACTTCCCAACTCCTATATTCTACGCACTGATCAATAAAGGCAAGCATACCAAAATGCCTTCTTCACTATTCTAATTACCTGCGATTCGACTTTCAAGGAACTATGAATGCACACTCCAAGGTCTCTTTGTTCTACAACACACCCCAGGACCTTACCATTAGGTGTCTTAAGTCCTGCTCTGATTTGCCTGACCAAAATGTAGCACCTCACGTTTATCTAGATTAAAATCCCTCTGCCACCCTTCGGCCCATCTGATCACAGACCCATTGTACTCAGAGGTAACCTTCTTTGCTGTCCCCTGCACCACCAATTTTGGTGCCATCTGCAAATTTACTAACCATACTGAGTGAGGTGAAATTTATTGCACTTTCTGTAACATGCAAAGTTTTGTGACGGACTGTTGCAGATTGTAAGTGAGAAAGGCAGAGAGTCAGCATTCGGCTGACTCATCTTCATCTGTTAATATTCTCAGGGACAACATCGTAAGGGATGAGACAGAACGGCTCTCTGTGATGAAGGCAAACATGACAATATGCCGCCTTTAACAATGTTTAAGAGACATTTAGATACACGTGAACAGGCAGGGAATACATGTAGACCATGTGCAGGCAGACAGGAGGAGTTTAGATAAAGCACAAACACGGTGGGCCGAAGGGCCTGTACCTGTGCTGTACTGCTCTATATCATGTGTGCATATCATCATTTACTAGGGCATGTGTTACAGACTGGAATCTAACCGAGTGGCTCATGAGTGGTTTATATATAATAACAAATACTCAGGAGTGAGGTGCAAGTTGGAATCTGATTGAGAGCTTCATATCTGACAATTGGCCCTTGTCTAGTACACTAGTTTTGTTCCAGATTCCAGCTGTCCATTCTTCATATATATGCAGCTCCCCCACCCCAGCGATGCTCACCTTTCCAACGGTGATGACCTGGAACAAGTTTTCAACATTCCATGTATGCACAGGCAGATCTTTTCCTGACGATCGGCAGGATATTCAGACATCACAAAGTAATCTGAAAACAGAGTGCAGTTAGGTCCCGTCCATATCTATGCGTCACACAACAGTCCCTCTGTGAGGAGTGTGCGTGCATGCCGATGTCTTTGTGCACAAGTGTGTACGCATAACAGACACGCCACTGGCCCTGTGCGAATCACACAGTTCAGAAGAGGCCCTTCTACCCAGAGTCTGTATCACCAAAACTATACCTACACTCATCCCACTTTTGTGCACAAGGCCCACAGCCTTCAATGTTATGACACTTCAAGTGTTTGTCTAAGTACTTCTTGAAGGTTGTGAGCTTTCCCATCTCAACCACCCTCCCAGGCAGTGATTACAACCTCCTTCTGGGGGAGAAGGTTTTTCCTCAAATCCCCTTGAAACCTCCTGCCTATCACTTTAAAATAGTGCCCTTTGTTATTGATCCTTGCACTAAAGGGAATTTGAAGGGCTAAAAGGGGTCATGAAAAGTCATTAGCAAACAGGATTAAGGAGAATCCCAAGGTTTTTTCTACATGCGTAAAAAGCAGGCGTGTAACCAGGGAAAGGGTTGGCCCACTCAAGGACAAAGCAGGGAAACCGTGTGTGGAGCCAGAAGAAGTAGGTGAGTTCCTAAATGAACACTGTATCAGTATTCACCAAACAGAAGAAATTGGTGGAGGATGATCTCAGGGAAAGGAGTGTCAGATTTCTAGGCCAAGTTGCTTTTATAAAGGAAGAGATGTTGTGTATCTTAAAAAGTATTAAGGTAGATAAGTCCTGACGGGATCTATCACAGCATGTTGAGGGAAGCAAGCGAACAAATCGCTGGAGCACTGACAGACATCTTTGTACCCTCTTTGGCTATAGGTGAGATCCCAGAGGACTGGATAATAGCCGATGTTGTCCTATTGTTTGAGAAGGGTAACAGGGATAATGCTGGAGATTATAGGCCTCTGAGCCTTGTGTGGTAGAGAAATCATTGGAAAAGATTCTCAGGGACAAGACCTATATGTATTTAGAAGCAAATGGACTTATTAGCAATGGACAGCATGGTTTTGTGCGGATTAAGTCATGCCTCACTAACTTGATCGGGATTTTTGAGGAGGTGATGAAGATGATTGATCAGGGAAAAGCGGTTGATGTCGTCGACATGGACTTCAGTAAAGCCTTTGACAAGGTCCCTCATGACAGACTGTTACACAAGATGAAGTCACATGGTATCAGGGGTGAGCTAGCAAGATGGATACACAACTGGCTTAGTCATCAGAGACAGAGGGTAGCGGTGGAAGGATGCTTTTCGGAATGAGGGTCATGACTAGCAGTATTCCACAGGGATCAATGCTGCGTCCTCTGCTGTTCATGGTCTACATAAATGATTTGGAGGAAAATGTAGCTGGTCTAATTAGTAAGTTTGCAGACGATACAAAGATGGGTGGACTTGCGAATAGTGAGGAGAATTTTTAGACGATACAGCAGGACATAGATCAGTTGGAGGCATGAGCAGAAAAATGGCAGATGGAGTTTAGTTCGGACAAATGTGTAGTGATGCAGTCTGGAAGGTAAAGTACAGGTTGAAATTAGACGGTGAATGGCAGAACCATTAGGAGTATTGATATGCAGAGGGATCTGGGTGTTTAGGTCCACAGCTCACCTAAGGTGGCAGAGCAGGTAGTTAAGGTAGTAAAAATGGCCTATGGCATGCTTGTCTTCATTGGAAGGGGCACTGAGTACAAGGGTAGACAATTATGCTCCAGGTTTATAGAATTTCAGTTCAGCCATACTTGGAATACTGCATAGAGTTCTGGTCACTATACTAATAGAAGGATGTAGATGCTTTGGTGAGGGTTCAGAAAAGGTATACCAGGATGTTGCCTGGTAAAGAGGATTTTAGCTGTGAAGAAAGGTTGGATAAATTGGGTTTGTTTTCACTGGAATGCAGGAAGTTGAAGGGTGGTCTGAAAGAAGTTTAAAAGATTGTGAATGGCATGGATAGAGTGGAAAGTAAAAGGCTTTTTCCCAGGCTGGAGGGGTCAATTACTTGAGGACACAGGTTCAATGCTGGGGGGGCAAAGTTTAAAAGACATAAATGAGGCAAGTTTTTCACACAAAGGGTGGTGAGTACCTGGAACACGTTGTCAGTGGAGGTGGTGGAAGCAGACACAATAGCAGCATTCAAGAATCACCTGGACGAATACATGAATAGGAAGGGAATAGAGGGACACAGATCCTGCAAGACAGTTTTAGTATGGTTGGACAAAATGTATCAGCGCAGGCTTGGAGGGCCGAAGAGCCTGTTCTTGTGCTGTGTTCCTCTTTGTTCTTTGGAACAGCAGCTTTCTATCCACCGTGTCCATGCCCTTCATAATCTTAATCATGTCTATCCGGTCCCCCTTCAACTTTCTCTGCTCCAAAGAATACAACCCGATCTTATCAGCATCCCTTCATAGCTGAACCTCTCCATTCTGTGCTACATCCTGATCGATCTCCTCTGTACCCCCTCCACGATGAATAAAGGCAAGGATCATTCTTAATTCCCCATTAATCTGTTCAGGGATCTGTGGTCAAGCGCCACAACGACCCTCTGTTCCTCTGAGCTTCCTAGTGTCTTGTCATTCATTCAGCGTTTGTGCACAAAGGGCCTGTCCCCGTGCGAGAACCTGTCAGCAGGTCAGAGCAAACCCGTGCACGTGTACAAACACACGCACCAGTCCCTGATTGTGTGAGGCAGTGAGTGAATGCCGCGTTTGGTGCTGCTGGATCTGTTTGAAGTCTCTTACCACTCAGCAGGGCGGAGAGTGTCACACAGCACAGCGAAGGGAGTCCTCAACACTGAGACGTGCTTCTGTTCCCTCCCCCTCCTGAAGGGAGTCTTCCACAACGAGACATGTTTTAGCTGTCGTACCGCTCCTGTGAAGGGAATCATAGTCATAGAGTCATACAGCATGGAAACAGACCCTCCTGTTCAACCAGTCCATACCAACCATGTTCCCAAACTAAACTTAGTCTCACCTGCCTGCGCTTGGCACATCTCCCCCCCAAAACTCTTCCTATTCATGAACTTATCCAAATGTCTTTTATAAGTTGTAAATGTACCTGCATCCAACATTTGCTTTGGAAGGTCATTCCACACACAAACCATGCTGTGTAAAAATGCTACCCCTCATGCCCTTTTTTTAAATCTTTCTCCATTCACCTTAAAAATATGCCCTCTAGTCTTGAATTCCTGCACCATAGGGAAAAGACACTTGCCATTTACCTTATCTGTACCCCCGCCAACCCCAACCTCATGATTTTAGAAACCTCTATTAGGTCACCTCTCAACTTCATACACTCCAGTGAAAATGTCCCAGCTTATTCAGCCTCTCCTTATATTCAAACCTTCCATTCCCCAGCAACATCCTCGTAAATATTTTCTGAAGCCCCTCCGGCTTGATAATATCCTTCCTATAACAGCGCAACCAGAACTGGACACAGCACTCTAGAAAAGGCTTCACCAATGTCCTCTATAACCGCAACATGTCTTCCCAACTCCTCCAACTGAAGGACTGAGTAATGAAGGCAAGCGTGCTAAACACCTTCTTAAACACCCTGTCTACATGTGACACAAATTTCAAAGAACCTGAAAATACCTGAATCCCGAGATCTCTGTTCTAAAACGCTACCCAAGGCCCTACTTTTACTTACGCAAGTCCTGTCCTTGTTTGTTTTACCAAAATACAATCTCTCACGTTTATCCAAATTAAAACTCCATCTGCCACTCCTCAGCTCATTGACCCAATTGATCAAAATCTCTTTGTAATCCCATATAACCATTATTCACTGTCCACTTTTCTACGATTTTGATGGCATCTCAAAACTTACTGACCATGCCTTCAACATTTGCATCTAAATCATTTACATAAATTACAAACAAAAGTGGACCCAGCATTGATCCCTGTGGAGCACTGCTGGTAACAGGACTCCAGTCTGAATAGCAACCCTCCACCATCATGCTCTGTCTCCTACTGTCAAGCTAATTTGCTTTCCAATTGGCAAGCTCTCTCTGAATCCCATCTGATCTAACTTTGCTAATTATTTTCCCATGCGGAATCTTGTCAAAGGCTTTGCTGAAGTCTACTGAAGACAAAGTCTATTGCTCTATCCTTAATCTTTTTTGGGTACTTCTTCAAAACACTCAAAAAAAAACACCAAGGCGTGACCCTGCTGTGAGGGAGTATACAGTGGGTGAATACATTCGTGACAGCTGTATCTGAAACAGCGAGGTTGGCGTGTCAATGGTTCCCTCTCCCATCCGCCGATCCGGGAAAGGGGATATTCCAATGGCGATGTGTACAGGAGCAGGGTCAGAGGGGTCAGAGGCTCTCGAGTAAACGAAGATAAGGGCACAATCCACAGCTGTCCGCTGCTTTGTGCGAGCGCGGGTCCCTCAACCCTTTGATTGAGAGGCAGCCTCAGGTCGGACACCACACGAGCCCTCCCCTCCCCACCGAGAATGTTTGCCACACCAATGTTCCGGCACTCAGGTGGTCTTCACTTGTGGGACTTCTACGACCTGCTGTAGGAGGAGAATTTGATCAGCGTCCAATCGACCCGACACGTAGTCTGTCACTTTCTGTAGAAGGTCCTTCTGCGATAGAGAAGAGGGAGATGGAGAGGGAGAAGAGGGAGATGGAGAGGGAGAA